CCATACTACCAGCCCCCGCTTTCAGCTAGTTTTTGCCAATACATGTATACAAAAAAGAACATCTCTATAATAAACATTGTAATTGTGCCTTCACATGACCGTCCCTATCTATCTGAGTTATACTTATAAGACCTTTATCAAAGTATAATATACAATTGCCCCACTATGCACCAATGAACTAACCACAAGTGGTGCACACTAAACTCGACACCCATCGATGGCTGATTGAAGATCTTTCCTCCACATGACTCTGCGATTTCTAGCGTTTGTCGCCGATTTGCTCCTGATTTGCACTTTATGAAATCGTTATTATTCTTAGGCTTTGGGAAATATTTAAAATAGAAATTGAAATGACCCCTCTCTTTAGGCCATTTCCAAAGCGGTTCTTATGCGCAGTAGAATTTTAATTAAATGGGCTGATCCATCGATGTCATGCTCATGACTGTGCCTGGACTGCAATAGGGAACTGCTGCTTTTTCTTTCCTAATTCTTACCTACTATCGTCATGTTTCCTCTACTTCTTTTGCATGTTTGTCACACTTTTGTGACCCGCTATTTCCGGCGTGCCTTGATAGTAGAAACAGGCTTGGAGCTGTTGAAGCTAGAGAGGTGAGCAGAGTAAGCCCAATTCTCTGTAAGGACTTCTCTGTTGACATCCACCCCTTTGCGCTCACATAAACTTATGCAGTTGCGAGTGCCGTGAAACCTCTACTAAAACTAAACTAAAATTGAAATGAAATGTTAAAGTTGCGAGGAAAAAGTTCAAAGGAACTGCAATTTTCAACAAAATATCTTGCGTCGCCAGATATCAACCCGGAGAAAAAAAAGATGGCGGTCGCCACGTGAGGGCTCGGGTTTAAGTCTACGTGAAGGTCTTAGACGACCAGAGGACTGACGAGTATCGGGTTAAAAAATATACCCCCCCCCCCAAGAAAACATAAAAAACTATTTTAAAAAAACAAAACTCGTGCGTCTGCAGGGTCCTAGACACATTTAGCTTCTTATCCAGCAGGAATTTTCTATTTGAATTTACGTAAAGTTCAGCTGGATCTGCACATGTACATAATTAAATATAAATATAGTTACATTACAACTCGTTTTCCCCTGAGCATAGCAATCGAGCACGACAGTCCAAGTTGGCTCAAGACTAGCCATAGTTTGTCTCTAGTCTCTACCAGTCTACCACTAGTCAAAACGGCAATCGGGCTGTCCCGTTATACCACCCGCCCCGCTGTACCGCCAACTTTATGCTCGTCCATCTTATGTAGGTGATATAATATATTTAAAGTTCCCCGATACCCCTTCCCCCTTTAAGCTTAATCGTTTTATGACATAGTAGACAATTCAATAAATAAACATACAAAAAACCCAGATGCTATAATGTACTTAATACAAACATCTCAATGAGGCAGTCTAGCGG